TGTACTAAACCTTCCAGAATCTTCTGTATCCCATTCTTACAGCTGACCTGATATCACTATAGCCAAGACCAATACTGGTAGTTAGGGCATACCATTAAACCACTATGTTCTTGTAGTGTTTACCCCAACCCTAGTACTTACTTCACAACATATCCTTACTACTTTGGTATTCAATTCAAGTTCCACCAAGCTGCCATTTCAGATAGCCCAGAAAGCTAGGTTGAAACTATACACCTCTGGTTTACATGTTTGCCAACATGTACTTTTTTCTTCTAAAACTCGAAAATTCTAATAGCCTGGTTGGTTCATCTGATCCCTCCTTAAAAACTAGCACATTTGCCCAGTTTCACAAGTTCTAGCTCCATTTCATAAGTCTAGTCTTTACAGTAGCACCATCAAAAGCTCAGGTTATCTCTCTACTCAGGTCTTCCAAATGGGCTTCTATCTTTCTTCTATTGGTTTCTATAATTTATATAACCATGAGGACTTATTGTAGATTTGCACTGCCTGATACCAGTTTGCATTTCTTCATGTAACCACAGACCTTGTCTTAAAGGACAATGTCATGTGACTGTTACACAAATGACATGTGACCTGCCAGTCATGCTGGTCAGGAATTCAGAAAAATATCAATTTGTTTTAGCAAAAATATTTATTGATATGGTCAAAAATATCGATTTATATTGATATGCCCTAACCATTCAATCAGAATGCAGGATTATACGTAACATGATCAAAACTCAAATTTTATTTTTTTATTATGATAATTATTAATTGTAATATATAGTAGTAAGAGCATGAAGTGATTCTTTACTAAGATTTTGTCTATTATCATCCAAAATTTTGTTATATGCAGAAAAACTTCGTTCTATACTACAAGATAATATAGGAAGCCAAATAAATCAAAGGCAATTTCACTTAACAAAGGTAATTGATAAGAAATCTTACTCCAAAACTTATCTAAAGTATAAAATTCAATTATAAAAAGATTGAAATTACAATAAATTGCCCATTCTTGAATTAAATCAACTGAAAGATCTAATAATTCTCGGATATAAGTATACAATGCAATATTATGATTAATAGTAGAAAGCAAAAAGAATCGAGGATCAAAAATATGGGCTTCTTGAAATAAAGGATGTGTGGGATGATTACTAATATGATCACAAAATTTCTTATAAGTGGCTTTATATGCAGAATGAAATATAGGAAAAAATGAATCAGGTTCTGTATTAAGTTTAGAAAATACCTCGAGTACAGGTTGAACTAAAGTTGCTAATGATTTTTCTACATTAATCGCACTTTCTAATTGTTCAATTTAGCTCTCAACAAATAGAATTACAAGAAAATTTTCAGTTTGAAAAAAATCTAAATCTCGCACAAATTGTTGTCTATAGTTTTTAATGAATATCAAATATATCCATATGTGTTTATATTCTTGTTGATCGTTAAGAATTGCTACAATTTTTTTTATTACAGGAGAGGTGTTTTCTCTATGTTCTTAAATATAAAAATCCTGAATAAATCATAGGTATTCTTCTATATAAAAGGCTATTTTGAACCAGGAGTTTCAACATATTGCATTAGGTAATAGAATATTATTTGGATGAGAAACTCCATTTTGATGTAAAAATTCAATGTATCTTGCATGTCAACTTTTCGCATAAATTAAAGTTTTCTTAATTTTGACCAACAATTTATGAACTACATTGAAATGTTCAATAAACATCCATGCCTCACTAAATAAATAAAAAAAAACCTTCTTAATTATTTTTAATTTTATTAAATAATATAATAAAATTTTTATATAAAAATTTAAAATCCTATTACTATACTAACCTAATCAAATTTAAAATATATGCTAAATATGCCTGATGCATTATTTGAGGCATAATTGGCCTAAGCACATCATAAACACATTTCTTCATATACGTTGCTAAATCTGATACAATTAATCATGTATCGTTAAATGAGATATTCCAACCAACTAAAGTATGAACAATTAACTGCCCAATTGTTAAATTGTTAACTATATCTAAAAAATCTACAACTACTAACTTAGTTACATCATGATAGTTGAACAAAATATTAACAATGCTTCGTGCCCTACTATCGGTAGTTTCATCAACAATTACCAAAATTTTTTTACCACTAAACATTTGTTTAATTTTAATCAGATGGGTTTCAAAAACCTCAGGAAAGTACTCACAACACAAAGTATCAGCTGAAGGAATACTACCACCTTCACATAAATTTATCCTTAACCATGGTCTAAGCTTGTCTACTTTTTCTAAGGAAATGTCAACTTGGACAAATGCATAGATTAAATCATTAATAGTAACTTTTCTTGATTCATTTGCTTCAACCACAGAGATTAAGGTGAGTTGTCTGGTTTTACTTGAAGAATATGTTTTTTGTTTTAAATTTTTATGTGAGTTTGTATTGATATGGGCTGTAATAGATACTTTGGCTTTCCAATTTATAGAGTAACAACAGAATTAACACATCAAAAGGCTGGCATCAATAACAAAATTGTCTGAAAATTCTTGCACATGAGAATATATTGTAATTCACTTGAATGATATATTTTGGACATGAAAAACCTTTAACAATGTATTAAAAAAAAAAGTATCCTTTTTTTTTTTTAAAGAAAAAAAAAAAAAAAAAAAAACTGCACAAATCTAAGTTGTAAGTTAATTATGAAAAAGCCTTTTATAATACTAATCACCTGATTCACAAGTTTCTAACTAACATTATTAAATTTTGGTCAGCACTATTCATAATTCTACTCACCAAGATTGTGTAATGTTACACTACAAAAAGATTTGTAAAAATATCAATTTACCCATGATTTGATCCCAAAATATCGATTTATATTGATCTATATAAATCAATAATTTTCTATGTCCCTGATGCTGGTGCGATATAGATTACAGGTGTCTTATCTTAACCAATTGTGAGAGACAGTTAATCATAACACAGAGAGGATTTTCAAATTTTCTATCGACACTGAAATTTGAACTCTGGACCTGCCATTTGGGGGTTGACAACCTGATCACTTTACTAGATCACCACACCTCTTGATTGCAAGTGTTGATACTGTTATAATAATATTAGATTAACTATAAAAATAGATACAAAAAATTTGAAAGGTTTACTTCAATGATAAAATAGTCCTAAAGTTAAAACAATAATCTGGATAAGATCCAGTAATATTAATACAAATATAGGTTCAAAGGATTTAAAATAGAACACCTAAGCAAAAATGTTAGATATGATAATTGATAGAAAACTTTCAAGTGAACTCTTTAAATAGGTAATATAAAAAAATTATATGTGTAACCAATTGTACACATTTTCTGTAATGGTTTATAGAATTATATTATCAAAAAAGTTATTAATAAAAGTCAAAAAACCAAAAAGGTCATCTTAAAAAACAAAAAAAAAAGACTCTTAATAAAATATTAACATAACTGCTTAAAGTTAAAAAAAAAAATTAGATATTTAATTATAAGAATAATAATCATATTAATAATATACTATACAAATATATTAGTAATTTGTTTAGTAGTAATTCTAATAAGTTAATTTGATTTATTTATAATAAGCTAAATTTGTTTAATTTGTTAGTTATCAAATATAAACTAGCATCCAAGAAACTTAAATAGTTTGTGTAAAAAGTAAATATGAAGTAAATAATTGTTACAAATAATAAAGTTATAATTCGTTAATAGATTATTAGTTGCAAAAATAAATTTTGAAGAATTAATTTAGATATCAAAGATAGTAAATAACAGTCATTTGATCAAACTTTAAATGACCTCAAGTCATTAAATAATAACTACGTATAAGGCTTTAGATGATCTTCAAATGGGGAATTTTGAAAATTTGGTCGGAATTATTGGTCATGAATACGGCCTCTTTGCATATATATTGTTGATTTTATTGTTATGCAAAATTTCCATTTTTAATGCTATGTAAGTACAGTTTTTTTTTTAATACGTACGTACGTACGTACTTTGTTTTTAGTATGAAATGTTAAAAACATAACTTTAAATTTTCTGTTTGTCTTAATAGTTTTTGAAGCAATTACACATTTATGATAATTTTACAACTATGATATAAAATTTTAAAACAAAATTAGCAAGGCGGGAAAAGAAAATGTTCAACAACATACATTGTATTATAACTATATATATATAAATATAAAATTTTACTAAGTGCAAGAAGCACGGACATCTTTCTAGTGTGAATATAATTGAATGTTAGAAATTCGTTGTTCAATGAAATTTATTTTAAAACCGATTAAAAATGGTTTTTACATAAAACCAGTTTCAAATTTTAATTCACGGTTGAATTTGAATCCAGTTAAATTTCGAAAAATACCACATCCAGAGTTTGAATTCGTTTTATTTTCATACTAGACATTGGATCCGCTGTTTTTAATGACAGGTTATATCAATTCCGGATTATTTGATGGAGACGAATGGAATGCCTGTTTTAATCCGTTTTAACACACGAAATTAAATCCAAATTCTAGTCGCATTGACTTAGCTCAAATTATTAAATTATTAATTAAAGTAATAACGGAACAGCTCCGCTCAAGATCGGTCGTCCTATACTGTAACATCGCGAATAACACTCAGGTCGTTAAATTCATTTTTGACTAAATTTATTCTTACCTCTTTAAAAATAACTCACCGAGACTTTATTTTGTAAAGTCAAATAATCAGCTCAGTTTGATCAAAATGTTCGCGAGTCAATCTAAACTAGCCATTTGCATAATTAGTTGTCACTTTCAAATTTTAAAAGATTTAAAGTTTTACGCACGTGCGTGCGTACGTACGTACGTATCTACACGAACATGTAGTGTAATAGTTTTTACATAACACAAAATTCTAAATGGAGAAAGAGTAATACTTCCGAAGAACGGAATTATATATGTTAAATAAATGAATTGGATCTTTTAGACCTTCTAACTAAACCTGAAAAATATCAAAATGAGTCTTGACAATTTTAGGAAACAATTAATGTCAAATTCGGATTACGAAGTCCGAGTTGAAGTTAATCAAAGATGTTTGATCGATAAAATGTTGTCTAGGTAAAGTTCAAGATATTTCTACTTTAGATTATTATGATTTTTTTGTTCTTGAATTGAAAAAACTGTTGATTAGATATTCATCCGAATTTGTGGTATTCCGAGAATTAATGCAGAATTCAGGTGCGTACGAGTTTTTATAGATAAATGCAAGTTACAAATTTTATATTGATATGGAAATTTGTGTGGTTTAAAGATGACGCAAAATCTTCTGCCGTCGAAATTGTTTTTGAGAATATAGTTGGCGAAACTTATTCGAGAATGCTTTTTAAGAATAATGGATTAACCTTCGGGCCACAAGATTGGAATCGATTAAAGAAAATTGCAGAGGGAAATCCTGATGAACAAAAGGTATTCATGATTATTTTTAAGACTGTCCATGCTATGCAGTTTTAATCGTCAATATTGCTTTCGCGATACAAGATCGGTGCATTCGGTGTCGGATTTTACTCATTGTTTTCGATCTGTGAAGAACCATTGTATGTTATTTAACTATAGTAATACAGTTTTAAAATATGCTTCAAAAAAGTTTGCTAATCCTGTTTTATATAAAGTTATTTATGAATTAAAACATTTTAACTTTGGAAATCATTAATATTTCATAGTGTATCTTCTGGTGAACTTGGCATGGCCTTTTATTGGAAAGGTGATCAGTTATTTGTCAGACACGGTCCCACTGGCAAAAACGACACTGAGTGGACAATATTCTTAATGGACATGAGAGAAACCACAAAGGTGCAATATTTTTATCGCATTTCTAATATTTAATTATTAAAAAATGAAAAAAATCATTGACAGTCTTAATTTTGTCCTTCTATATAGTTTCCTGATTTAAACAGATTCAGTCGTTTTTTGGCAACTTCATTGGTATAATTTTCGTTCTACATTGATATTACACAATTACCATTATACCTTATCATTATTTTAAATTACAGGGATTCACCGCTAATCTTTGCGAAATTTCAGTGTATTTAAATGAACATCGCGTGATTCATATTTTAAAAAACATTAATAATCCTCGATCAATTGCAATCAGATCTAATATAAATAGCGAGTCTCCAAAAAAAATGTTTAAACTTGAATCGGTTAATGTACATGATGTTACATTTAATACTTCTAGGATTATTATCCCTCCTGGAACTATGTCATACACAAATTGCTTAGAAGAAAAGGCGTCCGTTCGCTTCCAAATAGCCAGTGGAAATCTAAATGTTCAGGTTCAAGATGAATTTTCCCTTGAGATGGAAAGATTAACAAAGAAAAAACCCCCTCGTCAAACTGCTGTGCAAATTATTCTTCCTGGTTATTATGATAAGTCTTCAAATACTGACGAATCTCTCGATATTTTCAAAGACTTGCTGCCATTCCCCGATCAAGGAAAAGTCTTTATTGGCTTTCGAACACATCAAACAACTGGTTATTCGGTGCATTTAGCAGCTCGTGTCATACCAACAGTATGTAAATATTATATTACCTTCTTACAAATATAAAATTGTCCTAAGTATTTATTTACAGGTCGAACGTGAATCGATTGACTTGGTCCAAAAAACGCTTTTAGAGTATAATACGGAAATGTTATGTATGGCCGGAATATTATGCCGCTTGCTGTATGAAGATGAAATGAATCATATATCACAACAATACCAACATACATTCAATAATGATCAAGCGGACCTTGAAGCACGTTCAGCGCATGCTCTCAAACATTTTACATTCGAACAAAGCACGCCAGACGCCAAAGTAGGAAATATAATCGAAACACAATTTTACCAAAGTTGTTCGTCACAACTATCTATATTATCCACTCACGGTGTCAAAGCCATTAATATGGTACGATTACCTGATCCAGAAATGATCGCATTTATCAAAACTGTTCCGTTTGTTCCAAAAATCATGGTAGATCGATGCAAATCATTTTTTAGTAGGGCAAATACTATCCGGAAACTTATTGAAAAGGCTTCAATAAATGATGTATTCGAGGAATTAAAAAATAGAGCATTGGATCAAGATGAAATGATAGCTTTGATGAAATGGTGGATAGCATTGTGTAAAAGACAAAATGTTTCAGAATTGCAACATGACAATTTCATGCAACTGGCAGTTGTACGTGTTGAAAATGAAATCATACCTCTAAAAAATATTCAATATTTCTTGAACCCACGCATTGTTGAACCAGATTTGGATATTCCACCCAATGTCCTACCATATCCTATTAGTTCAAGATTCAATAACAATCTCCATGATTTAAGACAATCATTCAAGTATGATGATATCTCAATCAAGCGCATTTTCTAAATATTTCGATATTCATAACTACATTTAATCATTAATTATTTAGAAATTGGGCTGAACTTTCATTAGCTATATGGGCGCAATACATTATTGGAAAATACGAATTGAAAAGTGACCCATCTTTTGCCGAAAAATTTATATCAACCATTTCAAGAGGTTTTAAGTTGATGAGCAATAATGATAAGACTTTGATATGTCAACTGCTTTCTCAAGTTGAATGTATCCCAACTCAATTTGGGTTAAAAAAGCCCGTTGATACATACTTCCCAGACGTGAAGTTGTTTCCGGACTTGCCCAATATTAGCATAAAAATTAACGAAAATTTTTCTACAATGATGGGAATACATAAGGTAAGAAAAATAGTATATACATACGTACAGTCATACTCCTCTACAATCACCTACACGACCGCAAAAATTTTTATTTTTTCATTTTTGAAATACTTGTCTTTATGTACAATTGGCTTATAATCACAACCAGGTAAAATTCGCCACCCCAAATTTTTTTTCTAACTTAGAATAATGTAATGAACCAATGCTTTTATTAAAATCATATCGCGTGATCTTAAATTTGGGTGGTGAATTTTCGCTAATTCTACGGATAGAGTTTAAGGACAGAGTAAAATCACGTGATAGTATTAAAATCCATACATATGGGCTGATTTTTTCGATCGGACTCCAAAATTTGATCTAATTCCGGTCAAATTTTGGAGTCCGATCTACATAAATCGAAAAAATCAACCCATATGAAACAATCAACCAATCACGTGATTATATTCTGTCCCGTAGAATATCTGGTGAAGCAAAACATTCATTTTACTTTTTGATACGTCTAAACATACCCTAAAATTTCTATACTTTTTACTAACTTTTGCTATAATAACGTGCGATCTTATTGGTTAGTTTTAGGGTATGTTTAGATGTATCAAAAAAGTAGGTGTAGAGTATGTTTTGCTCCGGTGAATTTTACTCAGTTCATAATCACGGGCATAAAAAATCTGCGCTCGGTTTTTAGTCATGTGACGATCATAATTTTCACTAAAAATAAAACTTTTTAAAACTTCAAATCAAGATATTTCAATAACCACCCGAACAAATTTGACAAAACTTTCTTATTCGGATTCTAAGAATTAATGCGATCCAGAAAAACCGTTTCATTGAATTTAGTCAGGTGGTTGTCGAGATATCTTCACCCAAAGTTTGACCAGCTGATTAAATTCGATGAAAATTTTTTTATTTGAATTCTATAAATCTATAGAATTTAAATAAGAAATGATTCTTCGAATTTGGTTAGATGCTTATGAAGATATTTTCACTCAAAATTTGAGAAAAAATTCAACAGTCCTTATTGTGATATACGGTTTGATTTTTTTTAAAACTTTGAATGAAGATATCTTGACAACTACCCTACTAAATATAATGAAACTTTTTTTTATTATTGAATTCTATAAATTGTAGAATTCAACCAAAAAAAATTTCATCAAAATTGATCAGGCGGTCTTCACTCAAATTTTTTCAAAATTTGAGTGAAGTTATCTCAATAACCATCCGACCAAATTCAATGAAACTTTTTTTTTTTGGATCATATTAATCCTTAGGATTCAAATAGGAAAATTTGTCAAATTTGTTCAGGTGGTTATTAAGCTATCTCAATTTGAAGTTTTGAATTTTTTTTTATTAGCAAAAATTACGATCTTCACGTGACTAAAAACCGAGCACAGATTTTTTTAAATAAAGTTTAGTAAAAATACATTTTATCCAGCCGCGTAGTTTCAACATATAAAAGTCGAAGCTTTACTGGTTTTACCCAGAATCCCGACACTCAAAATCCCGACACCGAAATCCCGAAATACAAAATCCCGATACTACCAAGTCCGATTTAGTAGTATCAGATTTTTTTTTGTCTGATTGGCTAATAAATTCAATTTAATTTTACATTATTTATACAGTTTAGAGTACTTTTTAAAAAAACGAAAACTAAACATAATGAAATAAAAAAAAAGAAGCTATATAGAAGGTTTTATTAGAGCTGTAGGACTCCATAGCCAAAAATAAGATCTAATTTTCATTCGTTTAAAAAAGTTAGTATAGTAATAACTTCTCAAAAACCCGACTTATTACTAAGCTAATTTTTTTAAACGGACGAGAATCAGATCTTACTTTTGACTATGGAGTCCTACAGCTCTAATGAAACCTTCAATATTAGCCAATCAGACGAACTTCTGCCTATGAAATTTAGGTTACTAAATTCATTTTGTGCATAAAGTTTCTCGCATATTATAACATATATAGGTGACGTCAAGGGAAACCAGTCTTTGATCATAAAACATTTATATATTCTTTGTAATTTGAACCATCTTTATTAATTCGCTCCTTCATTTTACGTTTGAGCTAAAAAATTTGATTTTTTTTTTCGTCAAATGTAAAATTAAAAAGTGAATTTATTTATTCAAATTATATAAAAACCTCACGGCATATATATCCTAGTATGATGAGCAACTTAGTGCATACTTGGTAAAATTTTGATGCTTATATGTAGAAACTATATACATTCCTGAATATGGGACTATTAATGAAGTAATCCGAAGTGATTTGGTGTATACTCTGTCGGGTTAGACGTCAAAATCACATTATACCAGAAATTACTGTTTCAGATTACGCTTCAAAATTATCAGAATATGCCACTCCGGTTGGTGAAAAGTCCCTAAACAGGACCCCATTTTACCACTACTATTTAATTTATTCTTTCTATAGGTACATACCTGTATAAAGAAGAATAAATTAAATGTTGTTTTGTTTGGAAGAGGATGACTGTATATCGATATTATATCATAATTTATCTTAAACAAATTTATAACATCACGGGTATAGCACGTGAAATTGGAAATTATTTTCACTCGATTAGTCAATAAAGATAATTTGGATCATATGAAGCTTTTGAAATATTTTACTTCAATAGAGAATACACTTAAATACGATTCTATAGAGATATTAAAAACAACAGAGATTTGGATAAAGGAGGATGTTGATAAGAATAATTCTGGTACAAATGTTCAAAGATATTTAGCAAGACACTTGTATGCACCGTATTTTCAGAATAGAGAACTTGAATTACCTGTAATTCAATGGAAAGGAAGTTGGAACAAACATTCAAATGAAGGTACTGTACGTGAACCGAAAAATTTCATCCGAGAAACTATTTATAAAAATTTTTTTATTAACTATCTGAATTCAAATGTTAGCTAAATTCATAACTAAGCTTGGACTTCAAGAATATCCCTCTCTTCAGACTATTCTGCAACTTGCAACAACGTTTACACCTTTTAATCTTCGTGAGAAAGCATTAAATTATTTTATCAAAAATCTCAAAGAAAAATATTCCGATGAATACGATCCAAATTCGGTTCAAGTGAGATTTTTACCATGCATTGACTCCAATGTATACGTGAAACCATCAGAATGTTACTGGAGTCCTGATTGTGTAAAGATGGGATTCAATGCTTTACGTCAAAATCTAAGTTTTCGAGCTAAAGAGTTGGGTGTTAAACAACATCCTGATAGAAGGCTATTGGTGAATAAGTTAATACACAATCCACCAAGGAACTATGAAGATGCAAAAAGGATTTTTAGTTACTTGGCAACACGTAGAGGAGATTTTGATCATTTAGACTGTAAGGAGCTTAAAGATATCAGCTTTATACCTATCGAAGATAAAGTTCAACCACATAAATTCAGTCTTTACACACCAAAAGATTGTTTTTTCAAAAACGCAAGTGAAGAGTATGTATAAGTTTTTTATGGAATTAGTTTTAATGTATTTAGACCTAACACAAAATTTACATTCATTAATTCAGTTATGTTGATTTATTTCCATGTGTCGATTTTGGTGAAGATGCAAATCAATTTTTAGAAAACTGTGGTGTAAAAAAAGAACCATCTGCATTGGATTTAGCAGAATATCTCATCAATTCATCAAAAAAATTTTGGTCAAATCCGAATTATAGGGATTCATATAAAACTGTTCTCGGAACAATTGCATATAATTATGAATCAATTAATAAAAAGAAACCAGGAATACTTGATAGAATGAAACAATCACCAATATTATTAGGTACAAAGAAACAGGGTGAATATGAATTAGCTTGTGCTAAAAATATCCTTATAAATGATAATGATCGATATCGAAACATGTTTGATCCGTTGATCTGCCCGTTTACTGATCAAATGGCAAATTTTTATAAGGTACATAAGTAATTACGTTTTTGATTAATAATATTATATGATGACGCCAGGGGAAAAGCCAGACTTCGGGCTTTCAAGTTTATTTGCTAAACTCAGCCCTGATTGAGACATATATGATACGTAGGTAAATTTAGTTACGCGTCATATGTGTCTCTGTCAAGGTTGAATCTGGTAAATAATAAATAATAAACTTGAAAGTCTGAAGTCCGGTTTTCATTTGAAATCACTCATATACGTATCTTAGTTTTTCAAATTCGAGACATGGTATAACATAATAATTTTATCTTCTTTACAAGGTATTGGGAAGTCTATCCCTTGATGCTAACGTCAGGTCAACACCTCAACATAGTGGTATTGCAGGGACCTCGAAAATTTCTTGCAGTGTATATCAGAGAATCAAGGAACGTGTGCCTTGGTATTACGCCAGTATCACAAATGGTAATTTTAAGAATGATGTGAGTTGGGTAGAAAAATTGAGAGTCATGGAAGTAGACAAAATAGACATGAAATATGTACTTCTTATTAAATATAAAACTAAAAGTGAAGTAGTTCACGCATGTGTTTCAGAAAATCCATTAATTCTTTATATTACTCGTGGTCGTTCGGATTACGCAGATATTGCACCAGCCTTGGCACGACATATTCATGTACAACCAGACAGAAAATATGGTACAATTTTGTACCTTTATTTAACATCTTCAGTAGAAGATCTGCAACGACTTGGTTACCCTACAGAAAATATAACCAGACCGTCCTTCGGTAGAATACGTAATCTTTCGTCATCGGCAAGAGGGGGATGGGCAGATTCTATATCGGTTGAAACAGATGAAAATGAAAATTCAATTTTACAAACCATATTACGCGATACGATTAAGTCTATTAAGTCAAATACTCGAAATTTTTATTTTAATCAACTAGCCATGGTAAATTTTCAGATAGAAAGCCATTGTGATATTATACCAGGTATTGTATATAGAAGCAAGCAAATCGACAAAAATTCAAGGTCGAAATAGGTTAGGATACCTAAAGCTTTACTAATCAAGCGGCCCATGTCCTAAGTAGTACTCCTAACTGGTTTGATCTGAACGACCCGAGTTATAATAAATTTAGTATATGGTCATGACCCATATAATAAATTTATTAAGACCAAGTCAGTTTTGGTCGTTCAGATCAGTTATGAGCAATATAGTTGTCTGGTATTATCACTTAATCACCGACCTATTCCGTCCCTAAATTTTGGTCGATCAGCTGAATTTTGGTATCCATTGTGAATGAATATAGTTGACATCAAAATTATTGAATTGCATATATTGTTAATCGATGCAATGTGCACCTATATATAGTGTTTATATTTTTTGCAATAACAGACTAAAGATAGGGTCAGATATAAAGGCCCAAATTCAGGTTAGCGTAAGGTTTTTGGAGTTCTGAACATTTTTACTTAGTATACCTGGCCTTAGTCAATTAGACAATTTTTGAGATATAGCAAATATGATGTTAAACACCTATGGTGCATTTTGGTAATGTCGAAACTTGTAAATTAATTTTGAAGTCAACTATAATTGTACACATATTAGTATTTATCAGTATTGAATGATTATTTGGGTTAATTTAAAATTAATATGGGTTTATATAGAAATTTCTTTGACTTATGCTCATAATGTGAATGGAATTCAACTTTACGTCGGAAAGCATTTGAATCCATCTATTCTTCGGACCACTAATATGGACAAACCTCTGAAAAATTTCATTGACATTCTCGTCAACCTTGGCCAAGTTTTTGGACTTTTACGCGATCAAATAAATATATTTTATGATGATGATTCAACATCTGTCGCATTTAATCGTAACAGAGCCTTATTTTTCAGTTTGAGATATTACATTGATTTTAACGATTCTGAAGATTTTGTAATTTCAAGTGATGTCTTAACTTCCTGGTTCATGGTGATTTGTCATGAATTAGCGCATAGTATTATTAAGGAACACGGAAATGAACATGAGGTGAGATTTCGTTTTTTCAAGATTTTCAAAATTTTCTTTTAAATATCTGAGCTAATTCCTTTATTTACAAATTCACAAGTATTATATGCAAGCATTTATAAAATCATTTATGCCAAATTTAATGAACAAAATTAACGAATTCAAGTTTGAAACAGAATCAATTGGATTACTTCGAAAGCGTTTGCTTAAAGCTGATAAGAATGACCAATAAATTGGTTATTACAAGGCATAAGATTTTAAGAAGCTCATAATTCAAATCATCATTCGTAAAAATAAAACAAATACCACTACCATAAACCAATTGAACGCTGACAAATCTTAATATCACAGTTTAGTTATTATTATTACTCAATTTTTGGTAACAAAATAGCATTTATGTTCACAAATATTTTTGTTATGTAGTATGTTTATTAAAAAATCTAATTTGTTCATAACAATATTTTAAGTTTATAAATAAATTAATATTCTTAAATACGACAAATCATCCCGTCACGAGTTTCAATATAACCTTTTTCTGTCAGAATATCCATGCATTTTTTAATATCATGTATTTTAGGTTTGAAGCGATGAGAAAGTTGGGCAATCACTTCGTTAACCAAAACAACATTCCTTATTTTTTTTCTAGGTTTCATAACCCTAAGAATGGCCGCCTAAAGTATGCATAAAATTATGATCATAATTCTTTGTAATTATACAAAATATATGTGCACATCAATTTAAATTCACATACCTGCAATAAAAACATCCGATCTTCGACAGTCCTTTGAGTTTCATTATTTCGTTCGGATTTAATTTGAACATTTAATTGAATACGATTTTTTTTGCTAGTATACAATATAAGGCAAATTTTTGTCAGATTATTATTGTATTTCTAGTCGAATAAGCTTTTAAGAATGGTTAGACAAACAATACCTTTCGAAATTCATGTTCAATTCATAGCAAGATAAAGGATCACCGACTTTAGTACCATTAGAAATCTTGAGTATTTTGGTTTCGATGAGGACTTTTAAGTGATCTGCCAAAACATATTCATTTAAATCTGTTTTTTGCTTTAACTCTTCAAAAGTATATGACATATTTTTGTTGTATTGTAAAAGTATGCCCATTTGATATGTTGATGCCTGGAATGTAATAGAGTTGTTGATTTACATTTTACATTGTTATTAAGCTAAAGAGTAATCAACTGATTATAAAACCTTTTAATTACGAACCACGAATGTATAAGCTTTTTTACAATAATTATTTATCAGTTCACCTTTTGAAAGATGAAATAGCAAATTAAGTTTACGTCCAGAATGATTATTTTGATAAAATGTTTTGAATTGTTGAAAATTTTCTTCAAGCTATTGTCAAAAAAAAAAAAAAATTCATTAGGAATATATACATATATCGTAAAATCAAATCTCTAATTTTTATCATATTTACTTCTTCTGGCATAATAAAACCCGTTTTTAGTGGTTGAATTGGCCAAGATGCAGCATTCAAAACAAGAAAAGAAAAGTCAACTGAAGAATATACAGTAAATGCACAAAATGAGCTTACTTAAAATTAATCATAAAATATCATAATGTATTTTAAACAATTTAGTTGCCTTGTTCATTAGATTTTGTAGAACTGCACTTTTTAAACTGATCAGTAAGGGCTTTGCTTGATTTTATGTCAGTAAACATTCGATATAATTTTGAAGTATATTCGAAACTGGTTGTTTCCTATATAGATATAAGAAACTATTAATATTTGTGACAGCTGATGCTGAAATTGGTTGATTCTGAAATTTTAATCTAGTTTATTATGAAAAGTTAAAAATTTTTAGGCCTTTTGTGTGGGCTTTTTTTTTTTAGGTTAGGATAGGATTTAAGGTTAGCATTATTAATAAAAGAGTATTTATGAATTTTAGTAGGTATTATATAGATTTAAATGGGACTCTAAATTTCAGCATCACCCAATTTTAGCATAAGTTGCCACAATATTTATTAAATTTAAAATGATATGTGTATGCTATTAAACTAACCTTTAATTTAGCAATCACACTATATTCTGCAATTTCTGATACTGAAGTCCCATTTATCAAACGCTTTGCCAACATCATTGAATAAAATTTTTGAAAAATATCCTTATCTTCTATATATTCATATATAGTCATCTAAATAAATGTTTTTAATAGCGTGAAATATAAATTTGATACGTATCTGGTATAATATTGTAATATGTGAACATTACATACAGCGTTTTCAAGGTCATTATCTTCAGTGTTTATTTTTCTAAGTAAAGAATCACAAAATTGAGCCAAAAATTCTGGTGTCATAGTTGTTGAAGATCCACTAACATGATTGCGATTAACAATTTCTCGGAACGCCTAATGATATTATTAATAGGTTATAATATTAATAACGAAATTAATTTAAAATGAATCTAAGTACTGGAAAAAGAGAAGACCAAATCAAACAATTTTTCAATAAATTTTTTGAGCTTAACTAATCCAAAATTAACATTTTCCCATTTAATAAATGCTGTTATGCGTATTAATAAAATTTTACAGTATAGCCTTTTAAAGATTGTATTCTCTTATTGTCTAACATATCAAAATCAATTTTTCGTAAATTTATTTTGATCCTTTTCTTAGCAACTAGTTTATATATACCAATATATGATATTTACCTTATTCAGGGAAGCGGTAAAACTCATATTGCCCCTAAATTCAGTAATCATATTTTTGTACATATTATGTACTTCAAGCAATGCATTTATATATACTTTTGGCTCCTATAAATAATATTAATATTAATTTATAAGTGGTTTAAATATCAAAATGGAAGTTAAAATATGAAGCATACTATCTCAGTATTAAAATTGCTAGGAATGATATTCTTAAAAAGTTCAAAGCCTGTAATTCTAGCGCGTTCTTCAAACCGTGTCAAAAATGGTTCTTAAAGAAAATCAATTTCTTTAAACTATAGTCATATATCACAGTCATCATGATGTAAACACAAAAACTCACCCTTATTTATCGTAATTAAGCAAAATACCCATCCCTCAATTTCAGGTGAAGACCGCTTTAAATATTTGTCAATAAGGAGAGTTTCTAAATAGGAAACTAGTTGTGGAAGTAACATTTCATCTGCAGCTATGATGAACTCTAAAATATTAACATCTTCACAAGTTGTCGTTGAGACCTCACCAGTATAAATATAGCTGTAAAGTAGATTCGATTAAATTCAACCCAATCCTTATCAAAATAATACTATGACTTACTCGAGAATTAATTTAAAGATTTTCGGCGAAATATCTTCTTTGTGAAAAATCATGATCCCATCAGAATATTTACGAATACATTTATTGGATAGTGCCATTTTAAAATATTCACATCGATCCTTTAAAATTGATGTGTGGACTTTAAACATTTTACGATTCCATTCGTAGCCTGCAATTATGTACATATCACCTTTACCACCCTTATTATCTAAAAAGATGGTAGACTGTTCCGCTTGAGAGTGATCATCCTCAGGCACAGTTTGAGATGTGAAAAATGGGGGAAGCATTGCGCTTCTGGAGTTCAAGAGAACGTAAGGCGTGCGTGCGTACTTATGTACAGTACGTAAGACTTTGATTTAAAATGTCGTGTATGGTGCTACAATCCTGATATTTGTAGCACATGTGCATGTAATCGCTGAAGGTTACGAAGTGAATTAGTCTTTTCGAAAATCAGTGCAATAAAAACGTTCGTTATTGAGTTTTTTGGTAGTTGTTTTAGTTCTACATGACACGTGTTCACCGAGCCCTAATAAAATATTTCATTACCCTAGTATAATAGTCTTTGGTGTTATATGCTCTAATTAACTAATTATAAATTGTTAGAACACCAACACTATAAAAGCTCTTTCGTCATTATCAATAACTGCAACTTTGGCGAATCGAATCTATAAAATGTCATTTATATACGTATGTACGTAGTCTTCATTCTTGTTTAGTGGACTATGATGAGCAATATCGTGATTTCTTTCTTAATATGTATTTACTATCATATGTATTTACAACCACTAAAACAAAAGGATAATAAGAAACAAAAGTTAAACATCTAATAATAAAATAGCGGGATGGAGCCCTATGTATTGGTGTATTAGTCTTGCATTAATCTTAAAGTTTAATAAAACAATCGGTAGAATAAGTACAGTAACCTATGAATTATCGTTAAAATAAGTTATAATATAATTAATAGAAACTTAACTAATAATATACGTGCATTAAATTTAAGTAGCATATTTTTTATTCATAGTCATAAAGAAGGATGGCATTCCCAATTTTTGTAAACGTGCACATGATACACGCCATTCTTCGTGTGCTTTCGTAGATTAGAGAACGATATACTTATTCTTAAATATTTGGTTAACCAGTATTATATGTTATAAATTGACAGTTCTTCTTGATTATTATGAATGATTATTATGGATTGAGTGTACGGATTAAAACATCCTTAAATAATGTATGGGTTGGATATTTCGCTTTACATTATAGACAAATTTTTACATAGAATTTAAAAAGGGGAATTTATAAATAAGGGCCCGGAAAATGAAAATAATTACAAATACGGGCCCAAATAGGTATTTCAACAGTAATAAAGAAAAAGAATAATGTAATATATATAGTTAATCTTAAAAGAAATTAGACAAAATAGATTAAAGCCTTTTAATATAACAATTTGAACTTATTAAAAAATTAAAAATACATTAATCTCATTTTAAAATCTCAAAGAATTGATTAGATATAAACTTTTAATAAAGCTTACTTCAAATTACATTTCAAAAGTAATAGTAGTAAATTTTTTTCATATAAATACAGTTTTTTTTTAGAAGTTTTATACAAGTTATGGCAATTAGACTATAATACCAAAAGGAGTTTAATAGTTTATTTACAGAAGTTCTAGATATTTATAAAAAACATACAATATATTGGTAATAAATAAAAAAAATATAATCAAAATTTTAAAATATAGAGGTGTGGCAACCTAGTGAAGTGGTCAGGTTGTCAACTCCCCAAGTGGTAGGTTGGATGTTCAAATCCCATCAACAGTGAAAATTTGGATAATCACTTATGTAATATTCGTATTATGGCAACTGTTACTAATGATTGGGTGTAATGGTGGTCACACTAGCATGACTGACAGGTCATGGGGCATCTGTGTAAGTATGGTGTTGACATTAAGAGTTTTACACATTTTTGACTATAACTTTTGATGTACCGAACCAATTTGGATGAAACAACCACCATTGGATTCAGCTCACTGAGCCGGTTCTAAAGAGCACAAGATCATGTGATTCTGATCACTGGATCCTGAGATCGGCAAAGATTTGTGAAATTAGCAAT